GCTCCTCACAGGCCTTTCCCTGCAGGGCCTTCAGCAGCTCCATGGCCTTGCTCTGCACGGCCTGCAGAGGTGGCCTCGGCCCGTGGATCCAGCCTGTGCAGATCCCTCTGCAGAGCCTTCCTGCCCTCCAGCAGCTGAGTCTCCCTCCAGAGTTGGCACCATCTGTGATCTTGCTGAGAGTTCCCTGCATCCCCTCATCCAGATCATCAGGAAAGATCTTCAATGGTACCGGGCCCCACCCTGGTCCCTGGGGACAGCGCTTGTGGCCGGACGCCAGCTGCATGTGGCACTGCTCACCAAGGCTCTCTGGGCCTGGACATGCAGGCAGCTCCTGAGGCAGCCAGGAGAGCACCTCTCCAAGGCCTGGGCTGACAGCTTTTCCAGGAGAATGCCGTGGGAGACTGTGCCAGAGGCTTTGGTGAAGTCCAGGTAGACACTTCCACAGCAACCCCCCCTCATCCACTGGGGCAGTCATCTGGTCATCAAAGGAAATCAGGTTCGCTATTGTGTTGTTATTTTATCTTCTTAATTGTTAGAATTGGAACGAAATGCGCAGGAGTATTTCTCGTGTTTGGTGTTCAGTGTTTATTAATTCTTATCTGTATTACAGTCTTACAAAGTGTGATTTTTGTGAATTTTACAGGATTCAACTAACAAGATGCAAACTGGCCCAGTATCTTTCTCAACCAAGTCTTTGAAGGCTAAACTATCCAATTAAGAAATGACAACTAAATTTTTTTGACTTTTAATCCAGAAACTAATCACTCAAAGTCCACAATGCAGACTTTTCTAACCAATTACATCCTGCTCCCCAAACCCATGAGGAAGAAGGTGAAGAACAACCGGCCAGTGCCCACAACCCTCCCTCTTGCTTTATAGATATTGCTATATTCAAAAATGTTAAACCCTGTGCTTTTCACCCTTTGATATTACATACTTCTTTTCAAATTACTTACCTGTAATTCCAGGGCTATCACTCAATTTTGGAAGCCTTCTCCAGGACTTCAGGTCAAATGCAGTGTGCCCTGGCGGATTTGTGCCTTTCAGCAAAGAAAGTGTAAAATTCTCAGCATCCAGGCTTCCAACAGTTCGCTAGGCAAGACCTGTCTTTCCTAAAGCCCTGCTGGCTGGCTGGGACTGATGCCTTGGTTCTCCTGGATGCGTCCTGTGATCACACTCAGGACAATCTGCTCCAAAACACTTCCGGGATGCAAGTTCAGGGGGACACGCCTGTAATTCCCCAGATTCTCCTTCCAGCCCTTCTTGTGGATGTGTGTCACAATTGCAAACTCCAGGCAGCTGGCACCTCCCCAGTGACCCGCCACTGATGGAAAGCAACAGTCCCCATGAATGAAATAAGGCAGAGTCCAAGCTGATCCTTTTCACTGTTGGGCTTCCCATGTATTTCCAAGCTTGCTGGGGATGGCAGGGCATTTCTGATTATTGCCAGGAGTGAAGGTCCTAGGAAGGGCCAGGGAAGTTGACAGAGGTGGCACGGATGGGGTTGGTGTGTTGGTTTTGCACAGCTGAGTTTTTGCAAGTGGGGAGGCCACATAGGGGTCTTCTGTGAGAAGCTGCTAGAAGCTTCCAGCATTGTCCAGCAAACCCAATCTGTGGTGGCTCTGTAGATGGACATGCTGCTGGCCACAGCTGGACCAATTAGAGATGTTGGTGACACCTCTGCAATAACATATTTAAGAAGAAAATCAAAACAAAGTGGAGCGTGCAGTTTGAATTCCAGTCAGAGATTAGGAGGAGGTGAGAACATGTGAGGGAAACAACATGGAGACAGCAAGGTCAATGGAGAAGGAGGAGGAGGAGGTGCTCCAGGTGCTGGAGCCAAGATTCCTCTGTAGGCCATGGTGAAGCCGCTCTGCCCCTGCAACCCATGGGGATCCACAGGGGATTCAGAGGTCCGCACACAGGCCGTGGGAGTCCAGGATATATTCAGAGATCCACCGACAGCCCATGGGGGATGTGCCCAGTCTGGAGCAGGTGGATGCCTGGAGGAGGCTGTGATCCACTGGGAGACCTGGTGAAGAGAGGGGTCCCCTGCTCTCCTGTTACAGGAGCCTGTCTTTGGACTGCACCTTATGGAAAGATGACCAGGCCAGGGCAGTTTTGGGAGGACTGTGTGCCTGTGGGAGGGACTCCTGTTGCAGCAGTTTTGGTTGGACTGCTGCTAGTGAGAGTGGAGCCCCACTGGAGAAGTTCAAGGAGAACTGTCTCCCATGGGAGGGACCCCACGGTGCAGAAGGGGAGGGACTCCTCTCCCTGAGCATTGGAAAAGAACCGACCAAGCCCCGCTCACTCTGTCTGCCTGTGCTGTTGGTGGGAAGGAGGGAAGTGTTGAGGAAAGAAAAGGTGTTTTTAAAGGGCTATTTTACTTCTCATTATCCTCCTCTGATTGTGTCTGTAATAAACTCATTTTCCATCTCTAAGTTGAACAAGTTTTGCCCTTACGAGTGTTTACTCTGAATCCTTATCTCAACTCATAAATCTTTATTATTTTTTTTCTCTCCACTGTCCAGCTATGAGAGGGGAGGCTGAGTGAGCAGCTTTTGTGGGTGCCTGGTGTTTGGCTAGTGTCAAACCACAACAGTTGTTCAAGCAGCCTGTGGCTCCAGAGCCTGGAAATTTGGGGCAGTGAGACATGGCATGAGGAATGGTGAGGCTGAGTGTGGTCCCAATCCCCAGCCAGTGTGCAGAGGTGGGTGAGCAAGTCAGAGGGAGCCTCAGCCTGAGGTACAGCAGAGGTGTCTGCAGAGGGGCCTCAGCCTGAAATCACTCTGATGCTTTCATCCCAGCAGGGGCTGTGTCAGCATTTGATCCCAGCAGAAAAAATCCATGCAGGCAGAGGACCTGGGAGGGCAGGAGCTGTCCAGCAAAGGCAGTGAGAGTGATGTGCTCACTTTGCTCTCCTAAAAGCAACATCTTCTCCCAGGGGTGTGTGCAGCCCCGCTGGCAGAAGGCAGGGCTCTTGCTGCTGTGGCCATGGCAGCTGGAGGAAGAGGAGCAGAACTGCATGGTGCTGCCAGGCCGTGCCCCGTGTCTGCCCTGGCACCTGGTGCCTGTGCTCAGGTGTGCAGAGCCCCCAGAGCTGCCCCTGGGGAATGGGCCTGGCCTCTGGCTGCTGGCCCAGCTGGGGGTGCCTGCTGCCCAGGATGCTGCAGCACATCAGCCAGCCCCAGTGGGGCTCTCCAAAGCTCAGGGCAGCTGCAGGGGCCCAGGGTGCAGCTCTTTATGCAGCTGAGGCAGGCCTGCAGCTCTGCTGGCTGTGGTCACAGCTGGGACACCAGCACACCTGGAGACACCTGCATGGGGCTGCCTCACTCTGCACCTCCTCCAGAACCTGTGTTTTAGTGCAGCCCCCAAACAGGTTGGTCGTGGCTGAGCAGTGAGACCCAGCAGGACAATGAACAACAGCTCCTGACCTGAGATGTCCAGTGCCACGCTGGCAGCTCTGAAAGTGACACAGCTTGCATGAGCTGTTGGCACCCTGGCACACTTGGTTCATGCCATTCACAGGAGAATGACTGGTGCCTGATGCTGACACTGGTGTAGGTGTTGCGGCATCCTCTGATTGCATTTGTACATCCAATGTCCTGCAAGTATGCTCTCGGCACTGTGATTTTACTGGTAGATGTAGAAATTTCAGTGAGAAGTAACTTGTGGTTTATACAAGATGTGACCCTGCAATCCAGCACTGCAGCAAATCACTTTTATTGCAAGCTCTTGCAAACTCCATGATGGGGCACACATTGAACTTTGACAAGCATTGAATACATTTCCCCAAAACAGTTTCCCATCCATCTGCAGAAAAGCTTCAGAAGCAGAGCAGAGCATGAAGGTGTCCAAGGAGTGCAGCACAGAAATTCAGCTTTGGCTGCTCCACGCTCTCTATGGATCTGATGCCAAAGCCTGCCTGTCTGATACAACAGCTGCTGCTCCCATTGTGCAGTTGCAAAAGCAAGCAAACAAAAGCATGTGCCAGGATGACAGAATCACTGAATTGTTGTGTTTTGGAGGGACTTCTCAGCATCTCTTCTAGTCCACACTCCAGGCTGCAGCAGGATCAGCTAGAGCAGGTTGTCCAGAATCATGTATTGTTGGGCTTTGGGTATCTCCAGACATGGAGATCTCCAGACAGGATCTCTGGACACCCTGAGGCGCCCTGGTGCCACAGCCTGGCTAAGGAGGGGAGGGACAAGTCAGCTGCACATTCTTGGGGACAGCTGAGGAGGAGAGGACTCGTTCCTCAGAGCTCTCTCCTGACACGGGCAGCAAAGCAAAGCAGCTGGAGGCTCTGCCCACATCTTTGTGCCTTTGAGCAGAGCAGGAGGTGCCCTGAGGGACAGAGCTGGAAACACAGCAGAGAAGGAAGCAGCACAGACTCTGACCAGGACATTGGTGCCCCTCTGCTCTGCTCTGCTCAGACCCCACCTGCAGTGCTGCCTCCAGCTCTGGGGCCCACAGCACAAGAAGGATGGAAAGCTGTTGGAGTGGAGTCCAGTGCAGGCCATGAAGGTGCTCCAAGGGCTGGAGTGTGTCTGCTCTGCGGAGAGGGAGAGAGAGCTGGGGATGTTCAGCCTGGAGAAACTGCTGAGGGTGCAGTACCTCAAGGGTCTCCAAGAGGGCTGGAGAGGGTCTTTGGACAAGGGTATGGAGTGAAAGGACAGGAGGGAATGGTTTCACACTGATGGAGGGCAGGGTTAGATGTGATATTATAAAGCAGTAAATTACAGTGAGCAGGCTGTGGTACGAGTAAAAGTTACCCAGAGCTGTTTTGACTGCCCCATGTCTGGAAGGGTTCAAGGCCAGGCTGGGGAGGGCTTGGGACAAGCTGGTGTAGTGGAAGGTGTCCCTGCCCATCGCAGGCAGTTGAGAATGAGATGATCTTTAAGGCTTTAATGTCCCATGAAACCAACCCATTCTTTGATTCTGTGATTCTGGGACATGTGTGAAAAGCCACCAAGCCTATTCTAATGAGGCTGTGGGGCTTATTTGCGGGGACAGGCATTGTTGAACAGAGTAACCGTTCCACCGTAGAGATTGCTCAACCTCTTCTCCAGCTCCCCCAGGCTGAGCTCTTCCACCTGGTTCTTGTCATTCTCAGCAATGGCCCCCCAAGCCTTCGTGGGCTCTTCATCGCCCAGGCAGCAGGCAGCTGACCAGATGTGGCTGGGTCTGTTCACCCTGTTATTGGATACGTAGGTGTTCCCAGGCACAGCACCCGTGATCACGTAGGTGGTTTTACAGCCCTGGGTCTTTTGGGGCATTGTTTTACACTCGTAGATGTTCCACTGTCCATTGTTGAGGCTGCTGTCCTGGGGCACTACGTTGGTCAGGGTGAAGGTGGCTGTCTTGCTTTCCCTGCTACACTGTTGAGCATTGGGGTTCAAATGGCCTCGGTCCAAATTCTTCAGTGGTTTGTAGTCATCAAGGACAGCCTGGCTTTTTTTGATTTGGTCTAAGGTGAAATGATGTTGCCCTATGAGGACCGACTCTCTTTCCATCTCTCTAAGATTATTTTCACCTATAAGCTGGACAGGGAAAGAGAAAGATGTGTTAGAATAGGGAATGGGAATAATGGAGAAGATTTCCCTGGTGCAGAAATCTCTGCTGGTCAAAATCCCATTTACTGTCATCTCAGTGTAGGAAAATGTGTGAATCTGAGAAAAATCATACACGTGTCCTTCCTGCATGAATGCAAAAGCTTTAAAGAACAAGCAGCTCAGAATCTGAGTGCTCTCAGTTTGATTTGTGACCTTTGTGATCCAGCCTGCAGCCTCTGCTGGGAGCGTGGATACATGCACGAGACAATTTCCCACTCCTAGGACTGAAAAGTGACTTTGGTGATTCACCTCCCCTGCCAAATCTGCTTCCCTTTCCTCCTGTCTCCACAGCCCAAATCTGCCCAGGGCTCTCCCTGGATGTTCTCACACCACGCTGTGATTCTGTGATTCTGTGATGTTATGTATTGTTCCTACAGGTGTACCCCAGTCCTGGAATACTAGAGGTTACTTCCTGTAACCCCATAAAAAGGGAGATGTGCCAGGAAATACGGCCTGGGAGGGCTACAGCTTCAGCTGAGTGGCTGGAGGATGATGTGCTGTAAGAGAGACACTCACCTGAGGCTCAACAAACCACCACGAGTGAGGTCTCTTGGCATTTCCAGGCTCATATTTGTAAGCAGAGTACACTGGAATTCTCCCGTCTCTGTCGTACAGGGTGGCATAGTGATACGAGTTGTTGAAGCGCTGACAGATCCGGGCTGGGTTCTTTGGATTCAGGGCATCATTTGGAAAGGTCCCAGAATAGAAAAACTGAGGACAGCTATCAAAGGAGTTCACCACCTCGCTGTGTCCCAGCCAGAGGCAGCTGGCCAACACCTGCAGCAACAGCAGCCCCAGCATGGTGGCAGGATTTCAGTGAAGGGCTCTTGCTCCCCTGGAAGGCAAATGCAGAGGGACACTCAGCTTGGAGAGAGCAGGTCATGGCCTGGAGCCTTTTTGTGCAGAGGGACAGAGCTGGCAGAGCAGGGATTTGTGAGAGACCAGGAAAGGAGTCATTTCTTTCCTCCTGCATATGGAAAAATTACGAGTATGACAAGGCTGAAACCAAAAACAGGGTTTAGCTGCCCAGAAGAGGCAGCAGTGGGAGCACTCAGCCTGTAGGAGGAAGGAGCCAAACCCACCAGGACTGCAATCAGCTCTCACAGCAAAGGGATCTTGCAACTGAGGCACAGTCCTGGGACAAGGTCACCTTTGCCCACCTCCCTCCTGCTCTCAGCACCTTCCCACAGCACACACCTGCAGCTGGGCACGGACTCTGCTCAGCCCCCTGCCATGCTGGGCTGGGCTTTAATCTCATGGGCCATTGGGCAGGCCAAGAACAGCAATGCTGCACTGCCTACAGCTCTCTGGCCCCATCCAGGTTCACACAGACACTCAGCTCTTCCAGTCAGACCCAACACTGAACCCCAAATCATCCACCTGGGCTCCTGCCTCTCAGCTGACATGGGGCCATGCATGTCCTGCTGCTCACCTTGCATTTCCACGTTATCCAGCCCCAGACTCTGAACTTGCAGACACATGGAGGGAGCAAATGAAGGGGCCAAGCAGATGGCAGCAGCAAGCATGAGGGATAACACCTCTATCTTATCAGCACAGTGGCTGCTGCAAGGCAAGCCCTGAGGGGCAGCTCTTGCCCTGGTTGCTTGGAATTCCTGCTGATGCCCATCTTCAGCTTTGCTGATTGATTTCCCTGGACAGTCAAAGGCACCACTGCAGGAATTTCTTGGACAGCCACCTGTCCTGTTTTGTCTTTCTCAGTGCTGATGTGATTTTCAGCAGGCAGTAAGGTCATTCCTTTATGAGAACGCTGCTGAAAAGCTCCCTGGGATGCTGGCAACCACATGAGGAGCTTTGTCTCCTTTCAGAGGCAGCACAGGCTTTGGGAGAGCAGGGATGCTTCCATTTGCATTGCCAGACACTCATTGGACAGATTTAATATCATCAGCATTTGGGATCAGGCAGCTGGGACAGGCAGTTCAAAGGGTTCCTGGCACACAAAGCTGCCACAGCCTCTAAAGCACAAAGCCCACCTTGGGCTGGCCAGGGGCTGAGCTCAGCACTGCTGAAGGCTTCACAAGTCATCTTGCACATTTGCCCTTGTCTTGTTCTTCTCCCTGCCCCTCATCTCTCCCTTTTCACTGGATTCAGGATGCTGAGCTGCACACAGCCCTGCTCTGACCCAAGATATCTGCTCCTTTTCCTCTTGTTCAGCCCTGCATCAGGAATGTGGTGACCAATGAGCTGCAAACTGAGAACTGCAACTACCAGTCGGGACTTTTTACAGTACTCTGCAGAGCATGCCCAAAGCTGCCCCAAATCAAGGAGAGAAGGGTCTGAAAAGTCCTTCTGCATGACCCACTCCATGAGACTGAAAGAGATCTAACTAAGGTAATATCTAATATAACAGATTCATAGAAAAGAGCCTACCGTGAGAAAGAGCAGCACAGGATTCTGCTCGCAGCCCCAAAGTGGCAGAGAAGTCTCAAATGCCTCTGCTGCAGTGTCACACTCTCTGGGTTTATATGCTCTCCAGGAAGTGACAGTGGTTGGATTTCGCAAGAAGCTTTTTGAGTAAATTTTCCTGGGAATTTAGACCACACCTGTGTTTGTCCCGAGGTTTTTTGCAAGGTTATGGGTGCGGTTTTAATACTCAATAATCTCCCCCTTCCTTCTTGTTCTACAGTTTTGATATTAATTTTTAGGTGAGTCTGCTTGAATTTTTTCCCAAAACATTCCTTCTGTCTGTACCCTCCTGACTGACAGAAAACAACAAAGTCCTGCAAAATTCAGAGCATGCATAAGCTCTGACTGCTCCTTGGAGCTCAGCAGCTCCAGCCTAGCCTTTGTCCATATATATATTTTTTTCAGAAAGTCAGGAGAGATTTTTAATATTGGAATCAATGGTGAGGAGGGAGAAAGAGCTTACCTTGGTGTAGAGTCTCAGAACAGGCAGCTGGACTGTTCCTTCTGTCTTCTCCTACGAGAAAGAAGTGTTTGAATCCTCAGGAGTGCCACTGCAATATATACCCTTTCAAAAATTTGCCCCTTGTTATAAACAAGGAATTCTAAAGAATAGAGAAGTTTTCTATTTTTATTCAGAGGATATTTTCACACACACCCTGAAATGTGCTGACTGTTGCTTGTTATAGTTTCCCCAGAATTTCTCCCAAATTTGCTGCCTTGCAGCATGGTATGTCAGGATCAGTTAACTATACACCCAGTTATAAAGTTGCCCTTTTTAGTAAACAGTGAATTCCACAGAAAAGAGAAGTTTTCTATTTTTATTTACAGAGTTTGTTCACACCCACTCAGAAAGATGCTGACATTGCTTTAGTTTCCTCAGAATTTCTCCCAAATTTGCTGCCTTGTAGCATGGCATGTCAGGGTCAGCTAACAGGGTCTGGTGGGTTCCTTGATCCTTTCATCAATCCCACCAGCTACAGCGGCTGCTGCTCCAGCACCTACACGTGTTTCTGCTCCCAACAGAACAGCTCTGCTGACGCTGGATGGACTGGCCTGACTCTGATACACTCAGATATTCACAATCTGTCCTTCTGCAGCCTCCCTGAACATCATTGCCATGGCCAGGCTGCCAATATTCTCTTGCCTGGTTGCCATGGCTGTGTGAGAGCTCCATCCCAGCGGCCTGGGAAGCAGAAGGCTCTGGGGATACCTTGGAGCACCTGCTAGTACTTGAGGAGTCTACAGGAGAGCTGGAGACAGACTCTGCACACGGGCTTGGAGCTGACAGGTGTGCTGGGTTTAGAGATAATGTTTTTGTCAGTGGCAGGTGTGGGGCTGTGTTTTGGAGTTGTGCTGAACACAGAATTGATAAGACAGAGATGTTTCTGGTATTGCTGGGCAGAGCTTTCACAGAGGCAAGGCCTTTTGTGCTTTCTGTTCTGCCAGACTTGTGAGGAGGCTGGGGGTACTTGGGAGTTGGGTGGAGACACAGCCAGGACAGGTGGGCCCAATTGACCAGAGCATATTCCAGAGCATGTGACATCATGCTGAGGATATAACATCAGGGGAAGGAGGAGGAAGGAGGAGAAGAATGGAGTGGTGGGTTTTGTCTTCTGAGGTAGTTGTTAGGTGGGATGGGGCCCTGCTCCCCTGGAGGTGTCTGAACACCTTTCTATCCATGGGAAATGGTGAAGGAAATCCTTGATGTGCTTTGCTTGTGTGCTCAGCTTTTGCTTTCCCTTTTAAACTGTCTCTATCTCCACCCAGGAGTTTTCCAGCTTTTCCCCTTCCAGTTCTCTCGGTGATCCTGGTGTTCAGGGAGGGAGGGAGAGGCTGCATGGGACGTGGCTGCTGGCTGGGGTTAAACCACAGCACTGGACCAAGCTGAAAGGGTTTGAAATGCAAGAAATGTTGGTTTAGATTGGATATTAAGAAGACATTTTTGACTGTGGGGTGGTGAAACCCAAGCCCAGGTTGCCCACAGAAGCTGAGACTGCCCCATGCCTACAAGTGTCCATGGCCAGGTTGAACCAGGCTTGGAGCAGCCTGGGATAGTGGAAGGTTTCCCTGCCTATGGGAGGGCATGGAAGTAGGCTGGTCGTTAAGGTCCTTTCCAACCCCAAATATTCTGTCATTCAATGACCATTCATTCATTTAAAGCTAAACTGGACTCGTTTTCTTCCATTTCCAAAAGTCCAGGAATAATAGAATGATGAGTTGGTTGTTACCACCATAAATGTCCAGAAGACGTGTGTTAGACCAAAGTTTGTTTAAACATGCTGGTTGAGTCCTGTGGTTTCTTTTGTCTCTGTTAACCTGTGGCTAATGTCTTAAACAAACTGGGGTTTAGCCAGCATGAGGGAGAAGGCCAAGAAGAAGCAGATCTGGTGGAGGTGGGGTAAATTCCTCCTTTCTGATGGGGCCCAACTGACAGAACAAAGCAGGGCCCAACAGTGGTCACATCATTAGAAGGGGCCATAAACCATCAAAGGCCACCAAAGTGTCCCCCAACTTCACAGTGCTGCATGACCCAGTGTACAACACCGCCCAGGGGAAAAGTGGGGCAACCCCACATAATCCTGAATTCACAGAACCTACTGAACTCTTCAATGCAAAGGCTTCAACCCCCAAAGGATCGTCCAACTTTGGGACATCAAAGTTGGGAGTTTTGTTCCTGGATCAATGGAGGTATCTTATAAGAGATGTTGGCACCCTGGCCCACTTTGTCCATGCTACTCACAGGAGAATAACTGGTGCCTGATGCTGACACTTGTGTGGGTGTTATGGCATCCTCTGCTTGCATTTGCAAACTCAGTGTCCTGCAAGGATGCTCTGGACACTGTCACTTTACTGGTGAAAGTAGAAATTTCAGTGAGAAGCAACTTGTGATTTATACAAGATGTGACCCTGCAATCCAGCACTGCAGCAAATCCCTTTTATTGCAAGCTCTTGCAAACTCCATGATGGGGCACACATGGATCTTTGACAAGCATTGAATACAATTCCCCAAATCAGTTTCCCATCAATCTGCAGAAAAGCTTCAGAAGCAGAGCAGAGCATGAAGGTGTCCAAGGAGTGCAGCACAGGAATTCAGCTTTGGCTGCTCCACGCTCTCTATGGATCTGATGCCAAAGCCCGCCTGTCTGATACAACAGCTGCTGCTCCCAAGGTGCACTTGCAAAAGCAAGCAAACAAAAGTATGTGCGAGGATCCCAGAATCACTGAATTGTTGTGTTTTGGAGGGACTACTCAGGACCTTCTAGTCCAGACTCCAGGCTGTAGCAGATCAACTAGAGCAGGTTGTCCACAATGTTCTCTGCAGCATCTTCACGTGTGGGGCACAGCACTTGGGCAGCAGCATTCCTGACCACCTCCTG